GTCCCAATATAACTCGGTCCATGTCCCTGAACCTTCTTCTTCGTCTTCTTTGTGGGATGATATAAAAGGATAAGATATATGGACCCCAACTCTTTGTGCATATTGTTTACATGTCCTGTATGTATCATATGTGTACTGACGCTCCTTGTACACGATGCAAGTTCAAGTAGTCAGGTCAAGCAGCCGACAGCTTTGGTTGATACCTGCTGCAGCGAAAGCTTGATGATAGATACATTCGTTACCTTAAACTGCCAGAAATTTAAGATGTAAATGGAAGAGGTAGGCCCCATTATGCAGTTACCTAGTGCGGGGAATTGAAATGATCTTATCGTAGATAGACACAATATATATTATATGCCACCAGGTGATTTGAAAATTTTACGCCGATCCTTTCTGCCCATCTCTTATTCATTATAGTAATAGAACTATAATCTGCTACTCATCACCCATTAAACGCCTTTAGTACGCATTATTGAGATTCACAAGCGATCACTTTTCGATTTTTTCTTTGGTAGGAGGCTATCTCTCAACTTACTTTCGATTTCCTGGAAGACTGTGTTAATAAAGGTGGTCTTTGTTATGTGGAAGCTCGCTTCTCACCTCACTTACTGGCCGGTGACCGTCTTACTCCTGAGGAAACTCTGAAAACTGTTTTAAATGCAGTAGAGCTAGGAAGTAAAACGTTTGACATCCATGCACAAATCATCCTTTGTATGATGCGGCATAAGCCCGAATGGTCCTCCGAGGTTGTCCAATTTGCAGAACGATATCAGACTTTTGGGGTCTGTGCCGTTGACGTTGCGGGTATGCTGTTTGTGACCTTACTTTAAACCTACATATTCCCATTGTTGGGTTGTTGCTGTTGAATCCGGCAAAAATGCCCACTTATTTATGCAAGGACCATGTATGCCGTCTATGCAGTCTTCTCTATATTTAATCTATTTAGGTGACGATACACCCTGTGATGGAACGAACACGGCCGATGAAATTAAAATGGCATTCAACGAGGCGTTCAAATTGAACATTCATAGGGTCGCCCACGCGGGTGTAGACGGTGTTGCTGCTTCCGTGACAGAGGTCATCAAGGAAATGCACGCTGAGCGGATAGGACACGGGTACCGTGTTCTGGATGATCCCATTGTCTATAAGATGATACGTGAGGAAAACGTTCACTTGGAGGTAAGTTCACTCTAATAAGACATCATCAAATTTCTTGTTTCAATGTTTTAACAAAATAAGCACAAGAATCATTTAAACTACACGGTTATGGTCAACCTAACGTTGTCTCGCATCACATTTAGGCAGGTGCTTGCTTTGCGCGATGGTCCTTTATGGAAGCACCGGATTTTTTTTAATATTTTTGCTTTTACTATGAAAGAGTGATGACTGCTGATGTAAAATGTAACTGCCCTCATTGTCTAGCTGAAGTTTTACGTTAAAAAGGCCTTGTATGAATGACTGTGTTGATATCCTTATAGAGCTCCAATTAATGCCGCTAGCCTAAAAGTTGCGAACTGGTAAACACACAACCCAGACGCTAGAAGCTCCTTTGTACTGGCTATGCAAGGACTAATTAACTAATCGTATGACTCCTAAAGGTTTTTTGTGCAAAACTCATTGTGTCATACGCGACGGGCAGCCCCATCAAAAGCCTGATTTCTGCAAATTGAATCCTCCGACTTTAGAGGTCTACCAGGAATTTAGAGACCAAATGGTGGAATATAACAAGAATTAGTCTAATATGGCGACTAGATTACATTTTCCTAACCCTGTAAGCACTTTGTAGGGAATCGAGTTGAGTAGACGGATAATTATGTGGGAAGACCAACATATAAATTCCAATCATTTGGTTTATGTTGTGACCTTTAAGCGGCTGACGAGCATCTATCAGTATCGTGGGCTCGCAAGTCAGAATGAGGTGTAGCATCCATCGTTATCCAGCGGTAGATTACGCTGAAATAGATTTGGAGTGAATAGACAGCCAAAACGTAACACGTGCCAATGTCACCTCATTTAACTTAATATGATACAACAAAACCATGAGTTATGCGCACGGTGCTGCACAGAGTTAGAGGTATACGACTGGCTGATGAGGGCGGATACGTCAGAGGTGGCCCTCTCTATTTACTAAAATAAATAATTTTCGAAAATTCCCATGGAAAATTTCAGAAGATAAATTGGCGAACAAACGTTTGTTTCCTGATGAGAATTTATCGAAAACAAACGTATGTTCGCCAATTTATTTTCTAAAATAAATAAATAAATTTTATAGTTGTGCATATTTATATGAACCATCTGTCGAGTTTTGAAATTCCCTTAAGATTACTTAAGTGAATAGGGAGACTAAACTGACTGTTGCTGAATTGCTAGCTGAAATGAATCTGGAGAACCAAAACTTAACTTGTGCCAATGTTATCCTTTACTCACTCATTGGACTTGATATGCTGCAAAAAACCGTGATTTACTCTGCATGGTGCTCCAAGGATTAAGTTGCATATGATTGGCTGGTTAGGGCTAGTACGTCGGAAATGATCATCCACATTTTCTTAAATAGGTGTACGTTAAAACTGAACGCTTAAACTTGCCGATAACGCAAACGCTATATCTCGATTTCAATCAGACCTAATGGATGCACTGGGTTGCACTGAATACCGCTTACCTAATGACGGCGTATTCACTCAGTAACGAAGC